AAGAAGAATCCATGTTATCGAGGAAATAATGTTATTATTCTACGATATTTTACCTCCCTTATTCCAGTTAATAGGTGGGATAAATTGAGTGAAATAAACTAGATTCTTCACTGTGTGAATTCACTAGTCGGTATAAACTAGAACGTCAATCAATCCTTTAACCAGTGGATGAATTTCTTCTCCTAGTACGAGACTCCTCAGTGAAGATGGCACAGGTATTCAGTGTTTTACAACACCTTTAACAGTAACACCTGACATAACTCGTAACTACCAAAAGAAATCAAAAGGCAGAATCGAGGAGATCAGAAGTTGTATTTGACGATTCTCAATATATCGGATTTATCTGATCTAACCTGGCTAGCGATTGCAGTAGCAGTTGAGCCTGGCGTTCCCACACGTGATCTGATGTGGATGCATGACCGAGCGCCTTCAGCTGGGTGAGTCCATCAAAACATTTGGTCAGCGTCCAATGTCGAAAACTTACAGGGCTACTTATTTTGAGGAATTATTTACCGCTACACCAGCATTAGGCGTCCATGATCTCGCACTCAGCCCCAATCACGAACGACTAGATTCTAGATAACCGCCTGGCATTCAATGCTGTTTACGTCTAACTTCTTTCAATCTATGATCTTGTTCAACCCTTCGACAATTGTTTGGCGTGGATAACTTATTCATAGTCGACACGGATGCGCATTTTCGAGGAGACCAATACTTAGAAAAGACAGTCGTCCAGTGCTTGGACGTTTTCAATGATTGTAACAGGAAATTTGACTAGCCGACTGTCTCCCTATTTCTATTTTTGATTCTGATTATTTTGTCATAAAACACTACTGTCTATGCTCCTTACCAGTGTGATATTTGTAGTTCTGGAAAAATGGAAAATTGTCATGCTTCGTAATTTAATGCCCGAATCTTAAAATATTATACCCTTTTTGATTTTATCTGTCTGTTTCATATCGTCAAATTCCAAATTAACTATGAGACAGAATTATTCAGTTCTGTTTATCTACATTTACTGATGTGTGTGATTCCCACCTTACCATTATAGCGGCAGGTTTTTGATAAACATCGGTGCCTGTTATCGATGGTTTGCGAAACCGTCTGCATAGACGACTGTTGCCTGTTTTCGGTATCTTATTGAGAAACACTGTGGTGTTCAAAGTGACAACACACCTAGAACTCAAATCACGTCTATTAATTTGCAATTGGACGATGCCCATATCACCGCTGAATGTAGCCCTATTGCGTCATTACGTATTTAGTTCAAGGCAGTTATAAGCACTTTCATATGTAGCAGTATTCGATCGCCCTGTCACTTGACTAGCCGAATGTTCAGATTTTTGTCAGTGACATATGGTTGAGGAATAATTGCCTATACTCTGATCACATCTGGTAAGTGATGTGTCTCCGTCTGTCTCTTCGCTCAGTCAGTCGTGAATAATCGGTTGTTTACCTGCACTAACAAACATAGTAAGATAACGACACTTCACACACCAGAGAGATGTACGCGATAAGACTATAATTCTTCCTCACGTTCATTTACTTTCCGATAGCGAGTTAGTGAAGTCTACAATCAGAATATGGAGTGCTATTCTGGCAGCAGTTCTCCTGGTACAGAAATTTTCGTTTTAAAGTCTTCAAGCCACAACGATGTGGATTGAAGTAGTTATTTAGACTGGAATGTTCCGACGACGAACTTCTGTACAACGAACACCAGAATTATTTTTCAAGGACTGGTAGCTTCTCGTTCTTGTCTTCCGTATGAAGAAGCAGTGATCCACAAATAGGTTGAATTTTTATGGGTAAAGAAGAACTGGTAGTAGCCAGCACTACTAATTGAGTGTGGCTAGTCAGGTAATAGTTGTCGTATGCCACAGCACCGTTGACACAGCTCTGCTAGATAGACAGTTTGGTAGCTGCGCATTTACCTACCTCTCGCTGTGCTTGAAACCATTTACCTCTGACTCTTCTAATCATTAACTTCTTTGTTTAGTCTCTGGATCATCCTGTCTCATAAAAAACATCTTTAAATTTAGGAAATGCGATGACGTCAGCAGTACTGGGACAAATTAGGTATATGCTTGAGGGTATTTGTTCTAATTTCTGGACGGGTCAGTCAATTCACTCTTTGCCGTTGTTCTGTGTATCTCTCATTTTGACCGATGGTAGAAAGATATAGGACAAGCGTTTAGCAGTCTGAAGTAAAATCACAATCTCACTTATAGTCCTGTGCTCACTCAATAACCTGTCTACACGCACTTATTTCGGGATGTTTGTCTGACGAACTTATCACATTGAAGCTAGACGCTTCTGTTTTGGTTGAGCATATCTATTTACGTATGTGAATAGTGCCCCGTACATATTTAACTATCAATTAATATACGCTCATTCATTCATCCCTACTGTTCTCTTAGTCGCTTAGATGGAAAGAAATGTCGCTTTAGATTGATCTTATGTAAAAGTGCTTTGTGGTGTAACGTGGTTTTATGGTACGGTGAGCGAGCCTAATTGCAAAGATGTCTAACTATATAAGCAGTACGATGTTCACCTGAATGTGTTAGTGATAAGAACCATTCACGTCAATGCTGTGATATAATTTTCACTTTCATATGGTCAAGCCACACCACATCGATGATGTTTCCACATCGACCTCGATTGATGTCAACTGTATTTCGACAGCCATTCAGCGTACAGTGGTAAACCGCATGAAGTAGAACACATTCACCTCGAGAAATAATCTGTCTAGAGTTTAGGGTTACTCCGCTGTCATTATACATATATATATATATATATATATATATATATAATTGGTTCAACTGAAAGCTCACGAGAGCTCCACCCGTCACAGTCAATAGAACATAAATGTCTTCGTGACGGATCGTTAACTCATGCTATTTCGGTGCAAGGGAATTAAAATTTCCACAACGCCAGTGGTTAATAGAAGAGCAGTCACCTTCAGGGTTTAGAAGAACTCCTTCTTCTTCCTAAACTGGAGTGAAGAGTTCCATCCTTCGTCTACCTAGGCCTACACCTTAGTGATTTTATCGCCAGAACTGCATACTAACTATTTGAGCAGAACTAAAGCCACATCTTTCAGCATGATGATATACGTTTTATTCAGTTCAACGGAGGTATAGCTCTTCATACGATGTAATTCTGGATGCGCCAGTTTACTATCGGGATTTCCTCCAGATTGTTGTTGAGTTGGTTCAGAGACACTGATCGATATAAGCTGTAATTCTGTACATCAATTGTTATCTAAACCGTTTCTTAGGGTGAGAGCAAAACTCAATGTAAATTACGTCAAACAAGTAATTACCGGAAGAAGGGAGAGTAGAAACAACGTGCCTCCCATCAAATCACATGGATACAGATACTGTGAAATGTATGTATGAGCGAGCCACGAAATCACTACGAGGATTCAAATTCAATCCTCGTAAGGAGCAATGAAATTTTATTCATTAGAGCATGAGCATCTTGGGCGTGGCCTCTGAGTGACATCACACTAATTTTCAAAGGAAGGAACCATTCTTGTATAAGCAACCTGCTGGTTGCGGTAGACAGATGCACGACCATCCTGAACCTCAAGAGAAAGCTGGACGCCGTTCACCTTGACTTCCCAAAAGCTTTTGATAGGTTCAGTCATATATGTCTTATCAATAAACTCAAACGATTGAGCATCAAATCACCACTAATTGATTGGAACACTCCGTATCTAAAAAATCGAATTTTCGAAGTCAGGGCTAACTTCACTTTCTTACGGGCTATGGAATGCCATAGTGGGGTCCTCCAGGGCTCATTACCAGAACCTATTCTTTTCCTGATTTATATAAATGATATTCCAGGACAGCTGTCGTCAGACTTATTACTTTTTGCTGATGATGTGAAACCTCGGAGAGAGATATGCAACCGGGAGGATATACTGGCATTTCGGGAGGATCTGACTCGACTTCAAAGTTGAGCAGACGATAACGGACTTACATTTAACACTTCAGAGTGTAAAGTAGTCCACCTGCAACATAATGCAGACTACAGTTACGACTTAGGAAACTCCTTTCCAGAAGTATCACAAGTCGAAAAAGATTTAAGAGTGCTGTTACCGCACGATTTGAAGACTGACGCTAACTGTGACAAAAATGCCTTTCGAGCAAACCTTGCACTGGCAACATCGAAGTGCATTTTTGACCAATTTGATGGAAGAACGTTCCACATAATCTTCAACAGTTTTATTCGTCCCCATTTAGAGTATGGAAACATAGTATTTCCTCCCTCACTCCTAAGGGATAAGGACACTCTGGAGCGAAACCAACGGACAGACACGAAATCATTTCGGGAACTCAAATCCAAGCGGTATGAATAGCACCGCCAATCACCAAACGTTTATCCATTAGAGTATAGGCGTCTTAGAGGTGACCTTCTAATCGCTTACTGTGTCTTTAACAACTCTGGACATCCCCTCAAACACCTATTGAGTTGAGCTTCAACACAAACTTAAGGGCTAACACTCAGAAACTGGAGACACAATCCAGCAGAACGAACTATAGACACAACTTCTTCTCTTTAAGAGTTGTCAAATGCTAGAATTCGCTAGCCCAAGCGACTTCACAGGAGTTCTTTAAGAGGCGACGTGACCTATTCTTAAGCACAAAAGATAATATCTTACCATGAGTTACTGATTTCCTTTTTTCCCTCTATTATTGCTAACATATCTAGGTTCCTGCCTGGAGGTATTGTTGATCCTCTCCTAGTAGACATGGAAGCCCGTTAAGCGAAAGCTTCTTCTGTTTCGTCCACAGCCACTTGATGCTTGTTTTGTTTTTAAATATACATAGTTAAATACCTGGAGTATTTGGTGATCCTCTGCTGTTGAATAAAGGAAATAACTAAGCAAGTGACTCTACTATTCTCGCCTTAATCAATTGAAAGCACTACTACGATAAGGCACTGAAACGTTTTGCGGCGGTAACGTTAGAAACACAAGGTCATTCCGGATGTTCATGACTGCGAAAGAAACTCAGGATGAAGTAGGTATGGTTACATCTGTCATCAAAATAAGCACTCGTCAGTAATTGTTTTTTACATTATATGTCGGATTTCAGCTGGACCGAAAACGATGCTGCAATTTCAAGTAAGCACACAATCTCCCAATTTCGGGGGAAATGTCCAGTTTTGGGGAAACAGCTATAGGAAACTTTGAAAAAACCGAAAATAGGAAGATTGTGCATGTTTGTTCAGAGTGGAACTTGAGTTACCCGCTGTTCAGGCTCAAAATGTCATTGTTGATATTCATAACATATTTGAGTGGGAAAAGTGAACTGGATGATTTTAGTCTTGTTCATGCATCTAACTTAAAACGTGCACAGCACGTAAATCTCCTTAGGGCAATTATGATCCAAGTAATTCACTTTAAATTCCCCAGTCTTTACGAATTTTGTGTCCAGAAAACAAAGACCTGGTGTGGGCTTCAGTATTATGATCGAAACGACGGGGATTTGTGAAAGATTTGGGAAATCACGCCGTAGATTCATACATCAGCTAGCTTTGTCTCCAGGTCATGTGTCTAAAAACTTAACTGAGGAAAATGTCTCACGTTGTTCAAAAACTTCGATACAACGTAATCACTGGCATATGTATGTGCAAATGTCTGTTTGTAGACATTAGATAGGTTGTTGTGATCTATTCGTTCCTTGACATTGCGCCTCTAGGGGTCGTTCATTATTATGCTTCCATTAAAAAATTGATATCGAGCATAACCATTACACCTGTTTTGTCGTGGTTATCCTTGATAAGCTCCTAATCATCACGAACTGAAATATTGACCAATGAAAGATGATCTGTCTCCAAGCTTCCTTTTGTCTCCTGCTTCTGAGTAAGCTGAAGTGTTTGTTTGTCAGGTTTCTTATACTGAATGGTTAGTCATATCCAGTGTTAAATCTGAAACATATCTAATCGAGTTGCCACATCGCACCAGCACAGTGAGATGAAATTGTCGAGAGTAGTAAAAGAAGTAACATTATCAGTAGTAGTCAAACAAATTAGCAACAAAAATGTGATCCAAGGAGAAAAAGTAGCTTACGTACTATAAGATAATTTTAAAACTCAGGAATTAAATGGGAGAAAAATATAAATGCAACTCCACCATTGCAACCGATTTCGAGCCACGTCACCAAACACTTTGTTTACGGTAATCGCATGTACCCCAACAAGGTAATCTGCACCTACTGGTATTCCACAAATTTGTCATAGCTGTGTAATGAATCAGAGTCAGCACAGCAAATAGTTACTGATTTATTCATGACTTCTCTAATTTTCATAGTATGGAGGAATGATTTTTAAGAAGTATACATGATCAGTGAATTGGAGTTCTAAGTGAATTAGTGTCAGACATGGTCTCAAAATACTAAACTGTCCAACGTTCAAGATCTTTTCAGGAAGATCATAATCAAAGCAATGAAACTTGATTCGGCATATGTGTTTTTCATTCGACTTCGCATAGTCAAATTTTGCGCTAGTTTAAGCAACTGACTGTTGTCATCATATCTGATTCATGAAACCGGCTTGAAGATGAGTACATAAATATTTACTTTGTTGTTAAACTACATCTAATTTTATTTATCGCCCCCAAAATGCCCTGGTACGGCCGAGAGCGGGTAGAGTTCGCTCACCATCTCGAAATGCTCTCACATGGCCACGGGTATATAGCCTCTTACAGGGAAGTCCTAATCACTGCCTTCTTGCACAACGAGTGTTGTTTACGAAATTGAGAGGACGAAAAGCAAATGTCCGGCACTGGCTTTAACCGGGTTGGTGGACATAGAGAGTCTACCTAAGGGGTTGGAAAACCCTGGTTACAAACCCATGGTGTACATGGGCTCCAGTATCCTGAACAAGTCGTTGGTCACCGGCTGCCATGGGAGTGCATCTCCTTACGTTGCTCCACTGTCTTGTGGATCAGACCCTCAGGTCGAAAGCTCCGGGTGTGGTCCCCTAAGGAAACCACCTGCTTCGGGTTGGGCATCCGGGCAGTATCACAGCCCTCACACATATCAAATGAAATCTGTGTGGCGATTATTTATTTGGTGCCTCTTTGTACCAATATCTGTGTGTTAAAATAAAATAAAATAATTTTTATTTATCTGATACACAATTGTAATCTTCAAAAAGAATTTTCTTCATTATGCATATTTTCAGATTGGGAAACAACTCATAAGTGTATTCACAAATTATTGTGCGGTGTTCATTCAACTGAAGAGATTAAACATTCCATTGAAAATCTATTCAACAAGTTTTTACTTTCGAAATCTGATAATTCAAGTATACATCTATATATATATCATTTTATTGATAACAATAAGTTTATGGATTCTTCCAAAGAGAGTATTTTACTTTTATGGAATTACATCCATATAGACGATATTGCATTATACAAGTATGTTATTAAATAGAGATCGTTTTCGGTTGTTTTAAAACATAATAGTTTATTCTTTTATTAGATCTAAATTACATTTCCGAACGTCTTTTAGTCATTTTGTCCAATAATGATCTGGATCATGTCAATTGGTCTCATATTCTTCAATTGATATCTGTTATGATCACATGTATTAAAGGAGGTGTGTCCACTGTTAAATGTAAGTTTGTTTCATGTAATCCATGTATATATTTATATATTTGTATATGCAGAATGGTGACTTAATAAATCACAAATAAACTATGATGTTTTATGTCTGAGTTATTGAAATATCCTGTTTTCAACAATCATTACCAGGTTCATATACTTCTCTCTTTCTCTCTCACTTTTTGCTTCGGTCTAAACAACTGAATGCTTGTATACACACAAAATATGATACAAATGCTAATATATAAGTTTGTAATTGGTTATGAAGTCACAATTATCTAAATTATTTTAGTTTACAACAGTATAAGGGGAAAGTGATTTCTGATAAAAAGTAAAGTGAATTTTATAGGATCTCAGAATAGAATTACATTGGTCTAAGTCTTGTCATACTACTTTAGAATAATGGGGATGAACTGAATAATATAAATAGTGAAGGAGTTAAACTCGTAGTAATAATAGTATCAATGACTCAAAGGGTCAAACATAGTGAATATCATTTTTATTAAAGGATGAGAATCACGAACTAAAGTATTACGCGTTGTGGTAATCGGTGTTCAGGCGTACGTAATACGTGGCCCAACCATCTCAGTCGATGAAGATTCACAACCTCATCAACTGATTTACCATCATTTCCTAATGCCTTACATCTAACCTCACTATCACTTGTCCGGTGATCCTAGCAGTTAAGTGATCAAAAATGTTTATACAGAGTATAGTTCTCGTTAAAGTTACAAATGATTGATCACGTTATGTATCAGACAATGCTCAAACCTACAAGCTCCACATGTATATTTTTTCATTCTACAAGCTATAGTAAGGCTTGGCGGCGCGGATTTGAATTCTACTGGGTGGATCATTTCCTTCAATATCTCACTTGCGCCTTGATGATGAGTGCCGACTAACACAAAGCCTGTGTTCATGATGAACTAAAGGAATAGAGATATAGATAAGTTTACCGAAAAATTTGTCGTAGAAGGAGACAGTTATACTTACGCATTCGCTAAGGTGCTCCGTCATCAATAATTGTGTCCAATAATATCTTAGGGCAGATCCCAAAACTTTATTAGCCTTTGTAAACTTGAGTCACTTGTGACGTAGGTAAGATTTCCATCTTCCAATCAAAGAGCTAGCATACTTCTCAGGATTTCTTTTCGTGTTACTGTATGGCTGTGAAACGTGGTGTTGTAAATGTGAAAATATTAGAAGCTACAGGTTTACGAACATATGCATATTCAAAGTATTGCTTGTGTGTGGTTAGAAAACTGAAGGAGCAATGTTTAGGCAAAGATAAGGAACCTGGAAAAGCCGACAAATTGGTTGACAAGGTTGCAAATCTTGATCAATTGAAGTGATTAAGACACTACCTGGTTATCTTCAGTCCGATAACCTCAATCAATGGTTAGAGACGTTGAGTCACATAGCTCAGACTCGATCACAACGGTACAGATGCACTTACTGTGTTTTACTCTAGATCTCTAATTTTAGTATCCCTCCATATTTACTATAACATTTTGCCATTTTCAAACCATAGTCTTGATCTTCAATGTTTCTCATTCTCATTATTATTATTCTTTTCCAGTTATAATTCATCAACTTCTATTGTCATTATTCAATTCAAATATGAATTATATCAACAATGATAATGTTGATTTAGATTGTTTACATTTATTAGATGATGTATTTATTCATAAAAGTCAATTGAATGTTTTCAAATCAAATAAACATGATAAACAATTATTGATAGGAGTTTTATTAATTGCACGTCAATTATGCTCAGAAGATAATCGATTGACTGGGATAAATTATAAACAATGGTGGATGGAAACATTTTGTAATCCATTACTATCAACACATAATAATAATAATAATGCACAGAATGTACTTTCATCACGTTGTGCTATAGTTTATTTTTGTGATTTACTCATTGAGCTATTACCTTGGGAAACCGATCCAAAATTTCTACAAATTCAAGTCAACACTCGACCTAATTGGTTTAATCCTGTAAAAAGATCAATGAATAATAATCGAATCAAAATTCATACTGATAAAATTCGTGTAAAACCGACTGAAGTAATTGTGTCATTCAATGAAGATGAGTTAATAATCCCGATTGATTTGGAATGTACAAATATGATAACTGATAGTAATAATCATAATCATAATACCTACATAGAATCTTGTATAAATCGATGGAATGATTATTGTGAAATTGCACAAGGACGGTTAGCTGAATTAAGGGTAAGATCGAATACTTCTTGGTTAGATGATACAATGATTATGTATGTTAATCACATTGGCACTTATCCTTTCAAATGTACTAGACCTATCCTATATTATGTTTTACTAAACTAAACCTCGGGATTTCAATGACAGTTTCGATTGGTTGTTTGTCTGTCTTTATTTCAATCCTTATCAAATGCTTGTCAGTCAGTCAGCTACAACGTGGGACCAGGCACATATATGCATTGGTCTATGTTGTTATACCGCGCAGTATACTTGTCATTTAATTGATAGACGGATGTCTTGCCTTCGCCATAGGTGACGTATGTTGGCAAAAGCCAAACGAGCTTTTTGAATCTGTGCTGGGATTTCGTCAGACAGCAACCCATAAAGGATGATCAGACCTGTAGTAAACAATCGTTGCACAGATTACACATCATTTGTTAATCAAGATTAAATTGTTCAGTTTCTAGTTCTGATAAAGGTTAATGATCAAAGATGTTTATACAGAGTATGTTCTCGTTGAAGTAACAAATGATCGATCATGTTAAGTATCAGATAATGCTCAAGCCTACAAGCTCCACATGTGTATTTTTTCATTCCTTAAGTTTCGATGAGGCATAGTGGCGCGGGTTTGAATTCCACTGGGTGGATCATTTCCTTCAACATCTCACTTACCCCTTTCATAATTAGTGCCGACTAACACAAAGCATGTGTTCAGGGTTTCCTACCGACTGCCCTCAATCATTATCAGTAATTTTTGATGTGTATCTATATATTGCTGCATTGCGGTAACTTAAATCAATAAATAAGATTTTTTGAAATTTCTTCCAGGAACACTGTTGTGCAACAAAAATGGTCATAACGGATAAAAAAATCTCTGATTGTTCAATGCTTATACTACTCCAGGATGGAGTGATGTTCTAAATTGGCTAAATGAAATCGCGAGACAACGTACTGTTGATTATTGTAGTGGTGATATTTCTAAATGTCGATTACCGTCCGAATGGAATGAAGTAAATCTGTTTCGGTAGGTTCTTGCAACCGAATTCTATATTTTATCCTTTATACTAAAATATTTCGATGGTTTCGCCAACTGCGTATTTTGATTAATTGGGTAGTACGACTTTTCATATTGATCAATCAAAACAGAGAACCTTTTTACTTTTTGTAAAGAACTTTCTTGTTTCCAAGCATGTGTAGAGAATCTCATTCTACTCAAATCAAAACTCGACTTTCATTCGTAAGGTTACAGACTTTAACCACACCTTATCTACTTGAGTTTAGTTCGATTGTAGCTGCCACATTGAAGTCTTGGTCTGGTTTAACTATTGTTGAGATTTGACTGAACTATATTGGCTAGAATACTTGTTCCTTTGTATCGTACTATTCCAGTCTGGTCGATTGGAATGTGATAATACTAGAAAAAGCTGCTTAAAGTCCGAAGGTAAAGTCGTACTGCTAATTATACTGGGGTGTGATGGCAATAAAACAGTTTTCTCAGACGAACAGTGTCTACAGCGATGCTGTCTTCTTACAGCTGGATGAGAGGTTTAGAGAAAATCAACCCTCGAAATATCACATCTCACCTTACCCCACGGATCTCTGTATTCGATCGTAAGACCTTGAAAGTCAGAGCTAACACATCAAGAACTACTAATAAAAAGCACTGTATAAACCATCTTAAGCGTTTGCTCTCAAGCACTGCGGTCACAACCCCAGGTAGCTAAGTCAGATAACTCAAGCAGAAGTACTTTTCCACTGTATGAGTAGCCGAGAAGTGTCAGCTGTCCCCCTGCACTTCTAACAGTACCTCTCGATTTCGTTTAAGCTCGTTGTAGTTGGTGTCTGTAGCTGTTGCATTATAAAAGCGTGGCAAAGTTAAACAGATGTGTACTTGTTTACCTAGTTCACTCAGTCACCTACGACGTAGGACCAGGCATATATATGCATCGGTTCAAGTTGCCATACCTCATTAGCACAACAAGGTGAACACCGAATTCATAGAAGCAGTTACTACAATGACAGTAAAAAACATTTCATACAAGGATATGAGTTTATTTAGGTTCATAATATTTCGTTTTTTCACCAAGCATATACCAGTTATTGTCTCATCAGTGATTCTTTTAGAAAACTGGTTATCTGTTTCAACCTTAGCACAGTGTTCCTCTTTTAGAAAGTAGAAATTTAATGGGAATTACTTATATGTTATTGTTAAGTTTATTACTTGAGTACGACTAATACGACATACGACTTCAGTACTAGGGAGTTGGGAAACCCTTATTCCAAGCCAATGGTGCACATGGGCTTCAGTGTCCTGAAGGAACAAACGGCGTATGAACCAATCGTTGGTCACCGGCTACCATGGGACTGCAGCTCGTTACGATGCCCCACTGCCTTGTGGATCAGACCTTCAGGTCCAAGCCTCCGGGTGTGGCCCCCTAAGAAACCACCTGTTTCGATCTGGACGCCCGGGCAGTATCACAGCCCTCACACATGTCGAATGAGATCTGTGTAGCGCATATGTATTTGGTGCTTCCTTGTACCGATATCTATGTGTTAAAATAAATAAATAAACAAGACGAGACCTCATCAGACGATAAACTGAGACCGAAGGTCATGGGTTCGAATCCTGCGTGCGGGTCCGTGGATGCGTTCTTCCGAGAAGTCCTATACTACGACGAAACGTCTGTCCAGTGCTTCCAGGTTGTCAATGGTGGTCTAACATTGATCGGTTCATGGTCTCAATCAAAGCTTAACACCCTCCACAACCCTATACTGATGAAATGAAGAAATAATTACACAAGATCAAGCCAAAACTGTATGTGAGTACGGGAGATGATAACTAATAAATTGGGAATAAATTAAGAATGGTAGATCGGATGACAGTAGCTAACAGGTCAAATGAAGGCTTATAACAAAAGAAATATGAATGTACATATAATCTATTTACTTAATAATTGTCCAGTAAGAATATATGTAATAATAGTCCATAAATAATCTGTAGCAGTTTCCATTCACTCATCCTTCGTTCGAATGTAATAGATTGCTTAAACAAAAATAAGGGGTAGCTAATTCAAGAAATCCTATAAATTTATCAAATTGTTAAATTTTGGTCATAGTGTTTTACGAGATACAGACTTTCCAGTTTGAATGCTTAAGATTTCCCTAATTGATGGTTATAAACTTCAGGTAACATGACTCGAAATTAGTTAATGTCACAGTGACCAGTTGTGGTCGTGCGGTTTACTCGCGGATCAAACGGTGAAACTGTATCGTCTATAAATGATGCGGTCCAAACCCCTCAAAAAAGTAGTAATATCCTGAGGTTTTGAAAGACTCGTTGGATTTGAATAACCAGTGCTTCTCATCGAATACCTCCAACTGTCAACCATCATGTTAGATATTCGGCATTGTTCAGTAACTAGTCTGTTGACCATATTTCAACTTAATCAGTAGAGTTTTATCAAAACTAAAGACTAAACAACCGTAACATTATAAAGTGACCACTTAATACAAAAGTTAACCATTTTATTGATTTATTGCTTTGTTGTTGGGGATGGGGGACAACAGTCCACGTTGGCTTCGATCTACACTGATTCCAGCTTTATTAAATGCACCTGAAATAGAACATTTATCAGCCGAGTTAAAATTTGCACGTGAACAATTATTACAGGGGATACGGTCAGCTGGTTTATCACATTTATTGAATCATACAGAAGAAAAAACCTCCACCACAAAGACGACTACAAAAGCAACAACAACAACAAAGAGGAAGAAGAAACGACCAACGTGTACTACATAACAATCTTCAACATCGAAACAATACAGAATTTCTACTTAAAGCGAATTCTACAATGAAAGAAATAAAAATTAATAGCCGTATAATTAATACTTAAAACGAACTAGATAAAAAAGCTGAAAAGATTGAGAGAGGATATGTAAAAATACAGTAACTGATAACTTTATTATTCTTATTCTTATTATCATCACAATAATAAATAGAACAGATACAATAAATGAACAAATTTACGCTGAATGAACCTTTCTATGAACTCAGTAAACTGACAATGTTTAGTAGCTTGTTATAACTGAGAGTATTTAGTGACTGTGTATACTTCAACAATAAAAGTAATACTGTAAAGGAAAGTAAGATATGTTAATGAGATCGTTTATTGTGAGTATAAAGTTGTGGAGGTTGTTGAATTTCATTAAGTTCACGAACCAATCAGAGTTAGACAATCATTGGAGCTCCTCAGCAATGCACATCCACTAATCTTCAAAGAAGTCATACATTGAGATGGTGGAGATTTGTAGCTTGGGTGGATGATTTTGATGGAGTTTTTTTCTCTGAGCTGGATGGTTTGATCGTGGAGCTTTCATCGTTCTTCTGAACGACATCATCAGCACAAACATCAGATAGAAGTGAAGTGTTCGAAACAGTCAACGTCGAGGTGTACAGAACGAGCTGTGAAACGCATATGGATGATGTCGTTTAGAAGAACGATGAGAGCTCCACGATCAAAGCGTCCAGCCCAGAGAACAAAACTCTATTGAAGTCATACATTATTTCATTATGTAATAAGTGAGTATGTATTGTTGTACTGATGTACCGGTGTGATATGACAACTTGAATTGGTGCACATATGTGTCAGGTTCCACTTTGCACTTGAGTGACAGGTTACCGTGAATATATAAAACAAAGTCAATTCGTCAAATATTTTTCTTTATAAAAAAGCTATAGATAAATATACATTTATGTACACATACTTAGAACAATGTGGTCATATACTTCAGATATTGTATATTGTATAGCATATAATTAATGTATTTCAATGAGTTTGAGATGGATAGAAAACAGTGTTCACTTCTATTGAAATTGGGAACTTGTATCATAGAAAGTTGTCGATTCATCATCACCATTCATTCTTCAATTGACTTAAGTAAACATTCTCTGACGGTTGTTTAAATTCAACTAAATTATCACAGATCATCAATCGACGTTTTTCAAATACCCAACGTTGTAACCATTGAATTGGCCAATAAAATATAATCCATATACCAATGTAAAAGATATATGCCCATTTTAATCTATGAATAAATGATGTTTCAAATCTGATTTCGCATAGGTTTTGGAGGAGAAACGTAATTAAGGAAGCGTATTGATAGACTGTTATTTAGAATATGTTGTTCTGTTGTGCCATGCCAAATACCGTGGTTCGGTCGAGAATGATGAAAGTACACTCTCGTTCGGCGTTGCGTTATTGCTCATACTAAAGAAGTCCTACTCACTACTTACCCGCTTCCGAACTGTCATTTGCGCAAATGTCAGTGTAAAACACAAACGTTTAACACTAACCAGGTTGGTGAAGACGGAGAGTTCACCTAGGGTAGTTGGAGAATCCTGATTCCAGACCAATGTCTATCCAAGGAGGCCTCAGGGATCCCTTGGGAACGAATGACACACCAACCTATTTTTGACACTGACTGCTATGAGACGCCATCCCTTGACTTTGCTCCACTGCGTTGTGGATAGGGACTTCTGTTCAAGGGCTTTGGGAGTGGTCCTCCAAGAAAACCACCGGTTCGGGTACACGGCCAGTATCCTAGCACAGACCATTATTATTTGTTTGGCATATGCCTAGTTTTGGTGCCCATTCGTGTTAGATTCTATGTGAATTAAATAAATTGATAGTCGTTGCAGTGCGCACACACGGGTCCAATCTGATATTTGATGTACCGTAGTAAATTTATAAAAAGTCGGAAACAAGATCTTGAGTTTGAATCCCTTGCTAGTCGAGCTTTATTTGTAGTCAGACAATACTGAACACTAACAATGTGTTATATTTCATTCAACGTTTTCAACCCCCTTTTGTATGTATTGCATCGAGATGCCTAACAAAGGAATCTGTATATATGGTTGCAAGTAATAATTAATGACTTTAAAATGACATATTTCTTAAAGCTACAGGAAGAAAGGAGGTAGTTCATCTGGACCCGTTCTGTTGCGTGTCACCTAACATCTTCAGCTATTGATCACTACAATCGGTTGGACACTAGTCAGATTGTCTGGATCTAATAATGTGGCTCAGATCACCAGTGATTGGTTTAAGAATTTGATGTCTCCCTTTAGCTCATCTGCCACTAGTTTCTCTCCAACTCATGTTGCAGTCACCTCATTGGACGAAATTTCACAATCTTATCACTCTACTTATTATCCCTGCCTGGTATCCTGCGTCTAACCTCAGCATCACTTACTCGGAAACCATACACCTTTGTCGTTTTGAATTGTCATCTTGGGTTTCAATTACAAATTATGGCTAGCTAACTATGAAGTCTTCATCTCCTGATACAGTTATGATCATTGGTTAAGATGGTTTTGTGAACTATTTACATCATTTGTTTAGAATACCTCCTATATCTTCTTCTCGATAATTTAAAGTAGTTAGTACTGTTTCTAAATTTCGAGTCTGTATGCCACTTCAGTGTTAAATGACTGTTATTCACAAGAAATGAATTTATGTTACAATATTCCTCGAAACCCTGTCCAAGCATGACGGAACTTTTAGGCTGTGTTTTTTGCAGTTAACCTTACATTCCAAAGATGGGGTGGGTAAGCCGTTTCACAATCTACCTAAACTTGTGCTGGACACAAAACGTATGAATGACTTAACCCACATAGAACATCAGTCCATGATTATCATTTGAAGTAGTGTATGGTTTTTCCTTTCAACCATGTATTGGTTTTCACATGAAAGTTTTCTTGATTTTACTCCAACTCTTAATTTTATGTTGTTCATGTGAAAACGTTCCATGTGTAATCGTTGCACAGCTGTACTGAGATTCGGCATATTTATTCTGAATGTAAGTCTATGCCTAATAGAGTTCGTTAAACTGAAGTGGCAAATAGTTTTTCACTTGAACTACACTTTGCTGATGTCACCGAGTAATAAATCCTAATCTTATGTTGCTCTAATCCTTAGCACTCAAAAAATTCCATTGATCGAGTTCTAATGCGCGGTCTCTAGTTTAATTGTATTGGCATCGCGAGACATTTTGATGAGTTCCATGTAATTGGAAGTAGTCAACAGGAATTTATAAACCTAGGCTTGGTACTAGTTATTAATTTATTTAATGGCTTTATTCAATATTATATTTTGGTACACTATAGAATTCTCAGCACAGGGTATTTCAACAAGTTACTTACGCGAAAAAAAACCAGTAACGAAGTCAAAGAAGGAAAAAAGGTTAAAAAAGTCAACTGAAAAACTGTACAACTTTTCAAATTAGGGACATGTTAAGAATGCAGGTTATTGACTAGGTTAACTCTAACAACCTGTTCGTCAGAGAGAATATTTTCTGGGTAAGGTATTGTAGAACTTTTATACTTTTGCTTGCGTGCATGGATTGCAATGCAATTACGTCTCGTTCTACCAGAAGCTGTACAAGGAGAAAGATAAGAGTGAAGGGGATGGTTAGTATCTGATAAAATAACACCTTCCAGGAGTTTGCATGACTTTCGATGTCTATCCACAACCATATTAATTATGACCTCGAAAGATTCACCACACATCTTGCTAAATGTCTTCAGCACTCTCCGCAATACAGCAAAGTATTTTCTGAAAAGCTCGGGAAATAATAGTGGAGAACAGTAAAGGAGGATAGGTAATATACAAGAATAGACAAATTGTAAGCGTAAATGATGAGTAATTCCAAAAGCATGCAGTCTCTTTATGTAGAACGTCAGACGGAAGACTTTCTTCGATAACATTAAAACAAGCGAAAAACAAGAGAGATCAGAGGAAAAGGTAACATCAAGATAATTGACCTTTGACACTATTTATCAAAGAGCCTACAATGGCACAAGCATTATGGGATCTCAAAATGGTGTTTAGATTCTGTTTATGTCTCATGCTAAAGTTAACAGCCTGAGACAGTAGACACCCTGAACACTTTCCTCCAAATACAGTGTATTGTTCCCGTCCAGAGAGGTAGGAACATAGTCAGTTAGTTATCCAGCTGTCAGTGTTGACGCTGATTAACTTGTTAATTAAACGTTGTCTTGGCATAGAATCAAAAGCTGAAGTATAGTCCAGAACTTGTTAGCTAAGTGTATGAAAACAGTGCACGCTATCTGGGACATAGATTGAAGCACATTCGGTCACCATAGAAAACGTTAGTTTCTTTGCGATAGCAGATACTTCTTGCTAAAATTGCCAACCATCAAAAAACCTATACGTGGTTCACAAATGGATCCCAAAAATTACCACTGATTGTTATTATCGGGGCATAACAGAGCCCCACATCAGAACGTAGCAACTTTCTAGTGCTTCTTGGTTTTCAACACTACCACAACTGAGATTTATTTGCAATGAATAGAGCTCAATAAAAATCCATTTAAAAATTTTTCTATTACTGGTCAAATTTTCGGCAGAAAATATTTTAGCTGTAATTATGTTTCTCACAATTTTTATTTCCTCTCTCGCTCGCTTTCTATGTTCGACTTTCTGTAGACATATCGAAAGTGGATTATAGCGGTAGGAAAAAAGAATGCCTGACGATTCGGGAAAGAACGTAAGAACCCTTCATTCTTCCATTTACATTCGTCGACTAACGCTTTACTAAGTCGGGTTCGTTCATTCTCTTTCTCCATTGAGCATCATTTCGTTTCTCTTCGCTCTCTATTCTTCTCTTTATTCACTGCGATTCTCTGATTGCCTGTTCAGATCAATGAGTGTACAAAATATACGTATACAAACATCCATCCTCATATTTTACTTATTTAACTCCGTCATTCAGCATTGT